TACTATATATATATATATATATATATATATATATATATATATATACGTATATATATATATATGTATATATATATATATATATATATATATACGTATATATATATACGTATATATATATATATACTATATATATATATACTATATATATATATATATATAATATACATATATATATATACATATATATATATATATATATATATATATATATAAATATATATATTATATATATATATATATATATATATATATATATATATATATATATATATATATATATATATATATATATATATATAATATATATATATGTATAGTATTATTGGAAATGCAAACCCACACCTTATTTAAAGATCTGAGCTTACCATGTAGTAGAACACATCATTCTATGAAAGTTTTCTTGTATACCATTTTCTGCACAAATTGATAATAACGGTGTTACAGAGGGTATAAAATCCACAATTTCCAGGAACCACAGTAACCTTCTGCCTCTAGCACCGCGACAAAATGACGAAAAGTAGTTAAGAGCGACAGGAAATCAGATGGCTTTGTAGCAGATGACGTATGTGAGGGAAATCAGATGAGCCAATTAGATTCGTGCATGAACATGACATGAACGTAGACACTCAACAGAACCAATCAGATATGGAATAGATCATCACGTGACCATACAAGCTGAGCCTAGGAGAAGCCTTTGGAAATTCAAATCAGTTCCATCATGGCTAGACAGTGTGTAGGTAGTGAGAAAAATTATTCTGATTTCATTGCGAAATATCAACAAAATAACGAAGTAAACTTACTAAATCTACGAGATCACAGTTTACTGCTAGTTGAAGTATAATACTCGCAATGTAAGACATTGTGTCATTACAGAAACAACAGACACCAGTGGGTTTGTGGTGCATGGAAAAGGATTCAAAAAACAAAACAAAGAAAGCAGTGTAATTTGTTGTAAGCCATCGCAATTCCTGCCAACAATGACCTGGAATACCCTGACAATCCCAGTGTCCTACAGCCTAGCCCGTCTGGAGTTGAGGATGAAGGTAAGATCTGGTTTAAACTGTCTCTGGGTCTGGGCTCTCTCCTGCCAGAAGATATGAGGTGAAGATTTTGCAGACCAGGTTGGGGTTGGGGGGCGGCAGCCCCCTATATCTACTGAAAACGTGTCAGACACCTGGTTTACCCGGGCTCTATCCTGTCGGAATATATGAGGTGAAGATTTTGTAGACCAGGTGGGGGGTGAGGGAACAGTACCCCCAACCCCCCCTGAAAGGAAGTTTAATATGGTGGAGCCCCCTATACAACCCGGAAATCTGTTAATATACTATGCTAGTATTCTACCAATATTTCTTGAAATTCCCTAATGTGTAGTCCTATCATACCTTCCCCAGCTATAGGGACCGATATTGTAGTTATGCTTTGTTTGTGAAGGAAATGAGTGCTAGATTCATTCGAAACACAACAAAAGCTATTAAAAAATTATTCTATTCACCCAGAAAATAGTGTGGGGTTGCATTTCCAATAATACCCCAATTTAATGTATATATACATATATATAATATATATATAATATATATATATATATATATATATATATATATATATATATATATATATATATGTATGTATGTATGTATATATACATAATAGTGTATGTGTCTGTAAACACACGTATATGCATGCATATGTATGTGGGAGTGCGTTCAAGTCGCAAAGGAAGGAACGCACATAAAAGCGTAGGTTTAGAATGGACTTCTGAACAACTCTACCCTGCTGGCTATCTTTTTAAATCAGTTTTTACAAGTTCCACAGATGGTGATACTAACAAGTCTTAAGCCAAATAAATTTACTTACTCGTTGAAAGTCTCTTCGTTTTATCAACAATTATTCGACACGACCTTCTAAATACATCCATAGTCGAGACCTTCAAGGTTTGTTTTGACGATCAGCTGTTTCGACGATACCACAATGCAACGGGGCGCGGGACTTTCAAACTTTGTTCCCGACAATTAATCATCTATTATTCTGTAAGTTCTTACGAAACCTACTAAACCTGAATATGAAGCTATATTTCTCTGATTTCATTTTATCCAAAAAAAATATTTTCATTGTACAGATATCTTAGTTATACTGAAAACAAAGCTATGTGAAGCAAAAATGCTCCTACCTTGAGGTCAACGTTACAGTTCAGCCATATACATAATCAAGAGGAAAATAATTGGTTTTTTATTTGGAGTAAAACAAATGTAAACCATAAAAATGCCTGTGTGACTTAATGTACCCAAGATGGTCTCTGCCGTTTCACATACATGAAAATGTATGACAGGCTAAATACAATTGTTTTTAATGTGAAGCTTTACACTTGTCAATGTTGGTATTGTTAAAGTTGCATTATTTTCAATATTTTTTAAAGTAATTAAAAACAGAAAATTCAAATAAAGTTTGTTTTTTTACTCTTCTTTTGAAATTCGTTCTTTACAGAAACAGGTGACTAAACTGCCTAAGGTAAGGTTTTTAGAATTGTGCAAACTCTGGATGTCCAGTTTATTGAAATATATTTTATAATATAACTTTTTCCACTGTTGTAAAAAAAAAATCAGTTATAATTAAAAATAACAAGACATTAGCATAACATTGGAGGGTTTTCTTTTGAGGAAATCTAATTTTGAATCTGTAATGTTGCAAATAGAAAAAAATCCCATAATCAATGTTGATGAAATACAATCACAAAAATGTCACTTTAATATCATAACCTGTTGACAAGCTTTTTTTCTGTGAAAACAAGAGACCTTAATTTTGGATCTAAATAGAACAAAAATAACCCTTCCTGAACTAAAGTATATGAAATAGAAGAGTATCATTTTTACACACAACACCTAAGACATCTCATTATCAATTCTAATTCCTTTTCATATATCCAAGTGTCAGTCAATCTTAAAAATTGGTATAAATGAGTTTTCAATTATACAGCACACATCCTTTACAGGGAGTTAAAATCTTATTTAACAAGTGTGAAACTTGTCTAAGCTTTTTTGAATAGTACATATTTTATGCAGGCACATTCTCTTACAGAATGCAAGATACATGAATATTACTTTCCATCATCATTCATCAAAAGATTATTTACATTTTTCACACCCATGAAACAGATTTTTAATGTTTCAAGAGGCAACATTTTCTTCCTAAGTATTTGATTTAAACTAATTCTGGAAGGAAATATGCCGCATAATATAAATATTTTCTCTAGGATAAGAATAATTCCATAATTTTTTTTGCCTTTTATATCAAAATATATATTCCCCAAATGAAGAAACACAACAGAATATATTCTTAGTACAACAGGTGGACAGGAATAAAGAGAAATTAGAATAAATATGTTCACAATAATTTTTTTTTTTTTTTATATCATTATTTCCTCTATTTCAGGCAATTACTTGCAAAGTACACATATCATCAACAACTTGTTAATCACATTTAACGTTTTATTAGTTTTTTAACTTGACAATTTAAGTAAAAGAACTTATTTTTCTTTTCAGATATACAATAGGTGTTCAAGTGCAGTCCCAATGCAACAAAAATATGTAAGTAATTCTATAAAGATTATCTATAACTAACAGAGATTTCAAATACTGATGGGTAAATTGATCTAGTGAAACAGTATGATCAACTTTTAGACCCAGATTCCTGGTAGTATGCAAAGATTCCATTGAAGTTCTACCAAAATCTTGAGTCATGTAAATAATCTAAGCAGTAAGTCTACAAGAAAATTACCCATTGATGCCAGGATGGCTAAATACATGCTAAGCCCATTATGATTTTAGTTTACTGTTTACATATTGCTGGATTTCACAAGTGCATAATCACCTTTGTTCTTGATACATGGAAAGATTTTTATAATATCTATTGCTAGTAGTTGTTATTAACATAATTCTAAATGTAAATATCAATAATGACAAATATCAATAGCATTAGATAAAAAATTCCCTAAAACTCAAGGAGAGGGACATCAAATAAGGTTACTTAGGCCTACTAACTGGCTCCTTGGTGACTGAGCACTTGTGGAATTATGTGCAAACAAAATTCATAAAAATAACTAGTGGAGACATGTAACTGGCAGAAATTTGTTAATCTAAAGAAAAGGGGGTACTTTCATTTTGAATATCTTGTATTACCTAATCTTCATTTTCCAAGTATAGTGAGAATTAAAGGTAGTGTTGATTACAGACAAGGTCAGGAAAACTTCTAGTATCAAAGAAGTATTAGGACAAAATATATATTTGTAATGGTGACATTACCTCAAAACCAGAATATTTTACACAAATAGTTATCCACCTATTTTGTTTATTAATTTTTTTGGACTTTTTCCAAGTTCTATAGCCACATGGTTACCTGATAAAGTATGAATAAATAATTCTTGATTAATTCCTCAGATGTCCTTCTGAATAATGATGTGCACCTATATATACATATAATCTATTTTTTACTTGATTTGCAACAGTCATACAATTACAAATTATGCAAAGGGGGTATAACTAACCAAATCACAGTCATTCAAAATGATTGTGCATTCAAGTTGCAATATTTCACATATGGCTTAAATTCTCTCACCAAGACTGTAAGAACCATATCGCTTCCCAACAGATTTATCTCTTCAATCTTTATCTAATATAAGCATTTAAATGATTTTAGCAAGTGTACCCTAGCATACTAATAACACATCTGTAACACAATCAGTGCAAGAAAACACACACAATGCACCAACTCCCAGCTTGTTTCAAAACAAATCACAATCTATTCAGTATTCTAAGTTCATTGCAACTATCACAAATAACAATACACATTGCAATACAGGAGACAAAAAATAAATATATACAACTCTATACAAATATATCTATATATCCTATGGCACAAACTTGCCATCTTTAGCATTTTGCACCATTGTCAGGAGGCTGACAAATGAATCAACACTGTCCAAATCAATTGCAAGGGATTTCATCTGCAAAGGTAAACCATGAATTAGGCAGTGTGTAGAACCATACATAAATCATTCCACTTTATCACATATTATATAAGGAAATCATGCAATGACAAATGTATGAACAAGAAAGATAGAAATTTCCTGTACCTGATTTCCAAAGAACTCAACATCAAGGCAGATTTGCATGCGAATTTTATCATCATCTGATAATCCCCCAGTGACCTCTGCACCTCCCTGGGCTCCTCTGTCTCTTGCACGCTTTAGACGCTTTAAGCTCTCTTCCATTTTGTGAACAGAACTCAGAACATCATAAGTTAGAGATTTGTATCTGGAAAGGTGAAATGGTTTTCTATCAGAGCTAAATCAATTCAAGCTGCTATTTCTCCTAATGCAATACTTATTCCAAACATCATCATATGTTTCACTGTAATAACTTACTGTTCACATGCAGTTGTGCAGACTCTGGTTAGCCAGTGAATCAGTATCTGAGAATCAACTTTTCCTATTGTTTCATTATTAAATGTGGTCAGAACTGATGCAACTGTTGCAATGTATGGCTGGTGAGCTGTGGGAGGAACACGGTTTGTTCGACGGTACAGTCTTGGTGTGTCTCCAACCTGTCTTAGAGAACTAGTTGCTGCCTCTACCAGAGATTGAACTATTACTTCACTAAGACCATTGATTAAAGATGTCAATTTAACACCTTGGTCAGATAATTCATCTGGAAAAATAGAGAAAATGGTTGAAATTACAAGATTTTTCGTACCCCAATCAGACATAAGATAAACTACACTTACAGATCTGTAACAAAAATAGCAAAATCATTTTTTTTTTTATATATATAACCAGAAGTCTCATGACAGAATTACAAACACATGTTTTCTAATCCTATATTATGTGAAAAAACAATATCATATGCAGTTATATATATTATATACTTGTCATGCTTTCAGGTACAGACATACCTTAATGAGTATTCCTAGTCACTATCTAATTCACAAACTCTTAACCTAATGATGTTTCTTTAATTTGATCTATATCATGGTTCTGCCATAAAAACATAACTTTCTTAAATCACTGGCTAATTATACCACCTATTGTTGTTTTGTTTTGTGCATTTTGTTTATATGCAGATGGATCTACAAGTGCTCAGTCTCCAAAGAGTTAATTACAAGGCACTACATGACCTCACCTGATTTCCTAATTCCTTGATTATTTGGGGAAAATATTTTCCAAATACTATCAATCTTGATAATGGGCTACTCACACTATTGCTACTGTAATCATCATGTTATCAAAATACTAATAACAATAAAAAATCTTCTGAGAATGGAAACTGGTAAGCAGGTAAAGTAGGTGGAACCATCTATGTGTAAACAAAACTGATATACAGACATGTCATGCATGTAAATGCCTCCTTACAATTAATGGATTAAAGATGAACAAGAATTTCTAGACATAAAAAATAAAGTACTGTTGTACACATCAACAGATTTTCTTACCTCTGATAGCAGACACTTTATCAGCTGGGAGGAAACACACTTTAGGTTCAATGGCCTGATTATACAAGAGAGTCAACATCTGGGCTAGCTTCTGAATGTCATGAATCAAACATACTGCTGAATTTCTATCATAAGGCATGTGCATTTGTTGCTTTTCTGCTGTTGCATCACCAGCCTTATCCCCTGCTATATTTGACTGGTCTTGAGATTTGGATGGTGAAGGTCCATATCCAGAAGGCCTGCTTGTCTGTACAGATGACTTTGAAGTCTGAAAAGCACAATCATGAATAAAGCCAAGGAATCACTAAAGTTTGCATTGATATTCACTGGAGGCAATCTACTTTACTAGTAAAATCTTCCAGTACTGATTTGAGAGAAAAAGAAAAAGCGAATAACACCCAAAAGGAGAAAGAACAAGATGAGGTAAAAAAGAAAATGGGAACAGAGTTACCCACATGAAAAAAATGGGAAAGAAACAGAAGGAAAAAAAAAGAGCTTTTGGACTAAAAACAAAGCATATACAAGATACTTGCCTTCATACTGTCAGTTACAGTGACAACCCATGTTCTATAACGTGATAATATCAGCAGTGTTAGTTTCCAGAAACGATGGAGGAGAGGTGGCAGAAAAATTTCTAGCGAGTAGCATTTGAGAAGGCTCTCCCAAACAGTCTGAGTGGCAGAGAAGATGAAATCCCCATTGCTACTGGTAACTCTTGTCAGCCCACTTGTGTTCTGGCTCAAGCTGCATTCAACCACTTGCCCAATCTCTTGATACCTTCATTCAAAATATAAAATTCTTCAGTGATATATTTCTATATTCTACATTCAAAAGGTGAAATTCTTCAGACATCTATGCAAATGACCGGTGATATAATTCAATATTATTTCCTTTGCTAGGGATGGTGCAAACAAATCTGAAAAATAAACTAAACAAAAGTAACTAACCTGATCTGAAAGTAAACAGGCAAATTCCAGTGTTCCATGAAATTCTTGTATTCCAGCATTTCTCGGAACTCCAGAATCTTTTCTTTACTCCCAAGCAGCTTTTCAAAAGCCTCTAAAAATTCCACAGTTTCCAGGTATCTCTGTTAAGAAAGTTTACACGAAATCAGTAAAACTAATATTTACCATAGAATTAAAACAAACAATTAAAGTCAATCAGAACATCATCCTTTACGCAACACAAATGAAATGAAAATGTATTGTATATCAACCCACTCACAACAGATTATGTCCTTCCACATCATGTATGGTCAAAACTACAAGCTGAGCACCCACAGTTGATTTGCCATAGCTGTGGACACTGAGGAGAAATAGCCTCTCCAAACTAAGCTAAAAACTTTTTTTACCTCACTAAACAAAAATAATCATTTATGCTGCAGCAAATGTCAAAGAGAACTGGGTAATATAGAAAGGTATGAATGAGAATTAATATATTTACCATACAAGAAATGTATTTGACCGGTTTCAAATATATCTTCATCAAAAGATATATTTGTATTTCTGATGAAGATATATTCAAAACCCGTCAAAAACATATCTTGTACTGTGAAGACATTCATTCTCATTCATACCTTTCTACATTTATCAATATGAATTTGGTTCAGAACTGGATAACTGAATGTTTTCTATGCTTCTAATTTTTTTTGCAAGTAGCTGATTGCACCCACTACATGGCTCAGTATGGTGTGAGGAAATTCTATTGTGATTGGGTTTATTTCATCTCCTTATTCACCTGATGGAAAGCAGCTGGGTTTCCTGGATTGAAGATGTGTGGTGTGCCTGTCTCTAGTGCTGTAACAACTTCAGGCCATGCAGATCTCATCAAGAAGCTATACCCTCTGACCACATTTGACCTGTAAAGAAGAATTTCTTTCTTGCAAAATAAGACTTTTAATTAAAGCTCTAATATATACACCCACCACACACACACATACATCTAAGAGATACATCATTTAACTATATATAAACACAATAATACAGCTTACATTAATAATCTAATAAGCTCCCCAACATGGACTCAAGCCCATATAACTATAAAGTACAGAACTATATCCCTACACCACTAATGTTTCTAAATACATATATTTCCATATATACTATGCATATACTTATTTCATTACTCATTACTGCAGACAATCTAATTAAATTCTTTACCTCAAAAAAGAAGCAATTGAAATTATTTATTCTTAACTAAAGCACACAAGACTGTTTACAAACCCTTGTCCAGTGGTGACTTGGAGCAGTGGCTGGCACACATTATTTACAGAGCTCAAAGTGTTGGCATACATTCCTGGTAAACCTCGGGGATCTGATCGCAATGCTGAATCACTGATGACCTAGTGGAAATGTAAAAATTTAAGAGCAAGGATAGCGATATAAAATGGCCCTGTTCCTTTAAAATGTTTAAACTTCTTAATGCTAATAATTATCTAAAAAAGGCATCAGAGACTAAGCTTCAATAAGCTTAAAACTATAGCAAAAGCTTACATCTTCCAGGCTTTTCCTGATAAGTTCTCTGACAAGTTGGTGAGCATGTGCTACACTACCAAGACTTGCATACGTCCTCAAGGTTCTTCTTAGTAGGGAAAGGTCTTTATTCAAAACTCCTTCACGCAATCCTCGTTCCAAGCCATGCTCAACGAACTGGCAGACTTTGGCTACTCTCTGTGAACAGAATAATGTAAATCAATTATTACATCCTTTAAATGACTATTCTGATTTTTCCTTTATCTTCATTTCTGATTCATTTCTTCTCATTCATGGCCCTTGTGTAATCACTCTTTATAAGAGGTTTACAATGATCTTGGGCATTCTTGGATTCCTACATCAAGCACAAATATTAAGGAACATACTGGCTTGCAAACATCCAGGAGAGCTGATCCTTCACAGTGTGACACCAAGAAGTTCAGATGATTCACCTCAGCTGCTAAACGATCAACAAGATCACCTTCTTCGCCTCCTTCTCCATACCCATTCAGTGTCTCTCTCCCTTCTTTTCCACCAGACTTTAAGAGAGCCTCTAATCGGTCCAATCTGAGAGAAATAAAAGAGAAATGCAATATGCAAGTGGGGAGAGGTTTCTTTTTTTCTAATAATTCTCTCTGGCTGCAGAAGTAAGAAATCATTAGTTTGATATTTCAAATTGGTACAACTGTAATTTGCAAATAAGAAAATACATATGTATATCATTATTGTTTCTCCCTTTCTCTCTCTATTTTCTTTTCACAAAAACAAAACAATATCAACTGCAATATTAAGAAAGTACCTGTTTGATATTTGGGTAAGCCTGTGTAACATAGCTTTTTGCTTCGTAAAGACTTGTCGTTTCTCTAAATCCTGGGACGTTGTAGTTATTGCATCATCCAGTAATTTTTCTACACTCTGTCAAAAACACATACATACATATGTAAGGCATATCCGTAAAATTCCCTAACACATACTGATGGAGCACAAAGCATCAGTCTTGACAAGAGAGACATCTCTTAAAAATTGTATCTGATAGGCAAAAAAATGGGCTCTCTTGAATATATTACAGCAAAGCGAGAAGAAACTTTGAAGGAAATGCTAAAAAAAAATAGTATATGGAAAATTCTGAAAATGACTGAAATTGTATTTCAACACATTTCATATCCATCAACAGAAATGACAACTACCCACCAACACTTCTTCGCGTAGCTGTCCTAACGGGGTTTTTAAAGCTTCAATCAGTCTATCCAAGCCAGTTAGGTTAGTTGAGAGGTTAACAAAATCAGCATAATCCCGATTGATTAATTCAATCATAGCAGAACGCAGGATCTTCAAGTAAACTCCCAAATCATCACGTAGAGTCTCCAGGCCTCCACTTCCAGCTGCCTGGTGAACTCGGACAAAATTATCAACTGAAAAGTCATTCTGAAAAGGAAATGAACAGTCAAAACTTAGAAAAGTTAACTCTATAAAAGCATTATAAATGTATAAAATGCAAAGTAGATAAGTATATCTATTTTTTTCAAATCACCTTTTTCATGTTATTCCTAATCAATAAATTTAAACTTCCATTTCCCTTTTGTAAACCTCCAAACCTGAACAATTCAGCTTATCTGTCTACCCAGTTGTAAAAAGGCATGATTTTTTGTGCTTTACAAAGGGAAATTTTGATTACAGACATTAGGAAAGTTAAACTTTATGGACCAGAAAATGTATATTTGAGTCAGCAGAGTGCAAAATTTAAGTTTTCACAGTTACCCCACCCATATGAACAAAAACTGAAAGGCTGTTCTGAATATATTAATAACATACATATAAAATCACTTCTCCTATCATTCAAAACAATGAAATGTGTATTCAAATATATCTATAAGTATTTAGATATATAAATAGTATTTATCTTTACTGCATGGATGCACTAAGGTAGGGCAAATTGTAGAGGACTAAAAAATGCAGTTGTCAGTAAAAGAAATAATCTGCAGACACGAACAGCAATGCCACATAAAGGAAAAAGATTGTGGAAACTTGCTAAAATGAAATGGATATATTAGTGGATTGTACATATGTTTCATTCATAATGAAAAGATCTTGGAAAAAATCACACCAGTTTTGAACAGGACTTCCACAATCATGGCAAACAGGATTGTTTACACATTCTGATATAAGAAACAACTGTGGTGAATAGGTCTTTAGGGGTTAGATTCATCACAGTATCCAATTCAAGTGAGGCGGGAAATTGGAAATGAGTTTCTGTAAGATGCAATGGCATGGAAACTTTGCCTGTTGCAGGCCTATCTCAATTCTTCCGCTGTGCATTTATTGCTACTTATCTATTTATATACAATGGAAGGCAGAACACCTAATAACCAATTATGTCTAGAATAACAATAATGATAATGATATTAATTTATATAATCCTTATTCTAGTAAAATACCTGGCATTTGCCATCCAAGCAATTGATGGCCACTACCCTAACAGTGGCTCATTGTCAAACAATCAGTCTTTCACACCAGCAACACATATATAAAGCCAAATAAACCTCCTGCTCACAGGTTTATTCCATCTATTGTTTGCATATATTATTTGCCTCATAAAAGATGGCTTTTGGAAACTTAATCATTACCCAAACACTTGCAAAATTGCAATCCTTTAATTTTCAGTACATCGCCATGGAGGTCTACAAGCTCTATCTTGCAAGATTACTAATGTTGAAGGTTTATCAGTCTTTTGCCATTCCTAAGAAGGCATAGAAGCTTCATAGATAATTTGATACCACATCAGACTAATTAGGCCGGTATTATGTGCACGGTGATTTCTTGCGGTTAGGTGTATGGCATACGTGCATATGCACATGTAAACATTATTTCCGGATAATAAGCACTAACCTAACCTAATTGAGAGAGGTATTATCTTTTCATGTCCAGACACTGCCAACTTGTTTGTTTTACCATGCAAGCGCAGAAGACCAACTGGGGTTTTTCAGAGGTTTTTTTTTTCAGCCGGGAGTCTTTCAGTTGTATCCATAGTCACTTCCAAGTAATAATGTCCTACCAACATTGTTGCAGACAAAAGCTACAATATGTGAATAGTATATATCAAATGTGATACATCACTACTAGATTCATCTGTGTCTTTAATGCGTAGTAAACTCGAGTAAACCTCTTGCCACTTATTTCCCGACCATCCTTGGGATTCCTCTCTGGAGATTGATTAGCCCTTGCATATTTATTTGAAAATCATTTCTTGCGTCCTATACTACTGCTCTTTCTTTGTCAAGCGATTTGCTCGTGTCAGTTACTTAAATATCATCCTATTTTTCCCAAGATAATAAATATAAGATATGCATAAACCTTTTAGTGTTTTCGAACGAGATAGCCAATCAGATTAACAAAAATTATGACAAAACCTAAAAGTTTTTGATGGTTAACCTTCATGAAATCATCTTTGTCGAAGCATAATGATGACGTTCCATACAAATGGACAGGAAGTGAATTTTCAGCTGTTGTTTCCATGATATGTGAACTTGAAGTGTCGGCGGTGTCATCCTC